AGGTGCGGGAGACACTTGTGTTTATAACTGGGCCGGGGTAACCTCCCGCTGGGAAACTCAGCTCCATCGCTGCCCGCCAGGGCCCCGCGCCCACCCACCTCCACCACGCTCCCAGGCTGGAAGGGGAAGGCCGGCTCGCGGTGCTCCGCCCCCCAGGCGCCGCCGTCCTTGCTGTTGCACACGATGGTGTTGGTGTCCCCGTGCGCGTTGAAGCGAGGGTTGAAGTGCAGGCACAGGTTGTTGCTGTCTTTGCCCAGGTTCAGCACGAAGCTAGGAGGGACGGTTGGGCCTGAGGGCAGCTCAGCCAGCTCCAGGCCCAAGTCTGACCCGCAGGACGTTGTGAGGGGAGTGTACTGCGTGGGATGCTCAACAGGTGACCAGAAGCCTGGTTTCTGGTTCCAGTCCTGTCACCTGTGTGACCTTGAGCTAGTTCCTTCCCTCTCTGGGCCTCAGTTTCCCCATCTGTACCACTAGGGCTGCACCGGAAGCATGCTGAAGGATACTGCTGTGCTCACAGGTCAGTGGTCTGAACTGCGTATTAGTTCAGGTCCTAGCCCCTTGGGTCAAAGTCAGGGACTCCCGCCAGATAGTCCAGATAGTAACTTCTGTAAGGGGAAGAGCCCTGTCTTTTTTTTTTTTTTTAGTACAGAGTCTACAGGATCGCACTACGTAGTTCCGACTCATAGTGATTCTATTTTCAGCTTCCCAAGTGCTGGCCTTACAGGCACGTGCCACCACCCACCACGCCCAGCCTCGCGGGCCGCTGCTGCGCTTGTCTTGCTCTTTGAGACAGGGTCTTATTCTGTAGTTCAGTCTGGCCTCAAACTTGTGGCGATCCTCCTGCCTCAGTCTCCAGAGGTCGGGAACGACAGCCTTGTGCCACCAACCCCAGCTGTCCTGTCTTATACGTCTCTCAATCCCTGGTGCCCAGCAAGACACAGTGGGTGCTCAGTCATTGTGGGATAAGTGAATAAATAATATGAAATCTGTGGAGCGGAGCTAATAGCCATGTCCACTTCCGAGGGTTTGTAAGGAGATGAGTGGGCGGCTGGTACTGATCAGCGGAGCACCAGGATCCTCATGACCCAACCACCTCTCACTTCCTCCACTTAACAACTCTGCTTATTAAGAAACTGAGGCTCGGTGAGGTTGGTTGACTCATCCAAGGTCAAATGGAGGCTGAGGAACCAGGCTAGAAGGCTGACGGACCGAAGAGGCCCAGCGGACTGGGATGGGGGCGGACTGGGATGCGGGGGCGTGAGCCGTGTCCCTCTCTCCCGTCCCCACCCAGCTTCGGCTCCGCCCCTAGGCGGAAGGGATGGGGCGGGCTACGCGGATCGCGCGCGGCTGCAGCTGGTTCAGTTTAAGAGGCTCTAGCAGGGAGGGAGGGAGGGAGGGGGCGACAATGCTGGGGGCTCCCCGGGCAAGCGCAGGAAATGACTCACCAAGAAAACGCAGCCTCGGCAGCTGGCCATTAACCCCCTCCCCGCGGCTAGAGCCAGGTTCTAGGGCGAGCGCTTGCCAGCCCCGCATCCCCGCTTCGAGCCCCGCCCCTGTCGCCTGGCGCTCACCTCTTGGCTTCGGGGGCCACCTCGCCCCGCACTCTGAGGCACTCGCCAGGTTTGAGGTTCAGGTTGCTGGCGACCAGACCCTGCGCAGATGAGACCCGCCCACCCAGATGAGTTAGGAGGACGAGGCCTCTTTGGCCTGAGATGTCCTGGGGTGACGAGTGGGAGTGGGGTGGTTCGAACCCTGGGTCCTCATATCAGGCAGGGAATGAGGCATGGACAGGACGTGGTGAAAGATCTAGCCTTTGATTATTGCGGCAGGCCTGGGAAAGTCCCTCTTCCCAGCAAGGTCTGTTTCAATGTGAAACCGGAGAGCTCTTCTAGAAGTCCAGCTCTGGTCGCGGCCATCCGCTGGGGATTCGGACTCGGAATGCTGGGGGCGGGGTGCAGTGCACTGTGGCCTCTTATTACTGATAGAGAGGACTTCATGGGAACAGACAGCCCCTTGTCCCTTCCCTGGCCTGTAAGTGGCCTGGGACCCCAAGATCTCATCATCCCCTTAAAGCCCTCTCTGCAGACCGCGCAGGGGCGGGGAGGACGCGCTGTGGGACACAGTCTAGGCCCACTGCACGAGGGGAGCTGCCAGAGGTCAGGCTTCGGCCAGGGTGCTCTGGATGAACAAGCCAGCAGGACCCGCAGGGTGGGCAGGAGCTAACTGGCGCGCTTGGTTCCTTCTACACGAAACCTGAACCCTTTTCCTGGGAGCCTGCAAGACTCTTGCCTCCCTCTCTCTTCCATCCAGCGCCCAGGACCCACCGGACCTGTCTGGACAGAACCACCCTCCATCCCTGACCCAGGCAGCCTCTGCCGCGTGGCCTGTTCCCAACCCCCGCGACTTCTTGGAGCTCTCTGGTGACTTGGCCCTGGCCCTGAGAGCGGGACAGCTGCAGGGGGGAGGGGACGGGAGGCTCTCTGTCGTGGAGGAGGGGAAGGGATTGTGGCCTGGCCAAAGTGCCCCCCTGTCGTTGACCACACCCTTCCCACTCCCACTTTGCACGCAGCTGCAGAACTGCAGAATATCGGACCTTGCAGACATTGCTGTGCTGTCAGATGTGGGAGGATCCAGAAGATTCCTAAGCTAGAGAAAGTTTTGGGGGACCATGGTCCCCCACTCCCATTTTACAGATGTGCCACTGATGATCAGGAAAGAAAAGGCACTTGTTCAACGCTACACAGCAAGGACTACAACCCAGCTCTGGAGCGGCCCTCTGTCCCCTGGCCATCTGCTCCTGCCCTGTCCCCTGGGTTTTAGGGTGGGGTCTCCACACTTACACAAGCCATGATTGAGGCCAAGAGGATGTTCCGGACACTGCCGCACCAGCTGTCTGAGGACTCCGCCCGAGAGATGGAGCCGGCCTCTCCCACCCTTTTAACTGGACCAGACCCCCATTAAGTCCCGCCCCCTAGAAATTCAGCCAATTGCAAGTCAGGACACGGCTGGGACCCACCGCAGGCGGAGTCGATGGAATTTTGAAGCCTGTTCTGGAGCAAAGGTGACCAATCAGAATGGTGAGACTCCTCCCCTTGGACACGCCCCCAGGGCTCAAGACCCACCTCCCATTCTCCATCTCTCTCCCCCAACCTAAAAAAAAAAAAAAGTTTTGCGGTGGCAGAGGTTGGGGGAAGCCAGTGGAAAATAGTTTGAGGATGAGCTAGGCTTTGGAGTTGGCGGAAAGCGGCCTGAGGCCAGGAGGCTGGGCCTGGGGGATGCCCAGAGAAATAGCTGGGGGGCGGGGGTGCAGAGTCCTTGGGGAATCAGAGGGGATTAGGAAAGGAACCTCCCTGGCCCGGCTAGGGCGTGGCTTCTCTCTGGCGTTCTGCAGGTTAAGGACTCATTACCACAAGGTGTAGCCCCGCTCGGGCCGCCCCCGGAAGTGGGGACAGTGGCAGGGACTTGTGCTGCTGTGTTAGCTCGGACTAAAGAAAGGCCGGGCGAGATGCCAGGCACGAGGCTGCGGCCGGCTGAAGTCTGGCACTGCCCTCCCCACAGGCCCGCTGGGGACTCAACTCCGCCTGATTGCCGGTGCCCATCTGAGAGGATCAGATCTGGGAAGCACCCCAGGGTGGTCCCTGCCAGGATGACTGGGGTGCTGGCTCTGTGTCCCCCTGTCCACATTCATCACCTTCCACCTTTCTGATGCCAGGCCCATCCTTGCGTTCCCCATCTACCCCACAGATACTCTCTGTGACTGGTCTGGCCTCCCTCGGGGTTTGGAGATGGATACTCCTTCCTGGTCCCTGCTCTCAACGAATCGGACCGAGACCCTAATTAAGAAGGGGCATGAGCTGGGTGTGGCAGTACATGCCCATAATCCCAGCATCTGGGAGGCTGAGGCAGGAGGATCAGATAGTTCTGAGTTTGAGAACAGCCTGGGCTACAAAGTGAGCTGAAGGCCAGCCTGACCAGCACAGCCAGACCTTGTCTTAAAAATGAGAAAAAGGCTGAAGATGTAGCTCAGAGCAGATACCCTCAGTTCAATCTGTACTTATTTATTTATTTTTTAATTTAAAAAAAAAAAGCAGCATAGCAGCAGCTCTAAGGGAGGCCACGCCCAAGCCTGATGGCAGGAGCTGGGCTGCAGAATGTGAAGGTGAACCTTGAAGGACCAGCAAAGAAGCGACGGTACTGCAAGTCGGCGGAAGCTCAGACCCGCAGCCCAGGTGTGGGGGCTGGGAGCAAAAAGCCTAAGTTAAGTGCCTGGGTTGTGAAGGGTTTCCGGGACCAGGAAGAGGGGTTCGACGTTTATCATCTAAGGGGGAGAACTCAGACCAGAGTCGGGCTGCAGCGAGGGGGCTGCAGGGAGGGCCCGGCACAAGCTCAGTAGATCCCAGCTGGGGGAGTGCGCCCCTCACACTCAGGAACCGAGGAGGGCGGGGCCTGCTAGTGAGCTCCCCCTTCGGAATCTTCAGTACCAGAGCGGCAGGAGCTGCAATGAGTCACGTCTGGGGGCCAGGCCGGCCAACCGGCCCTGCTCGCCCTCCTGCTCCATCGGAGGGGCTGCTCCTTCCTGTGACTGAAGCTCCAGGCACAGGAGAAGGGAGGGAGTGGCTGCCAGGCAGGCCCTTCTCCTCCCACCCCAGTGGCTGCCTAGGAAACCAGCCACATCAGCTTCACTTCTTCCTGCGGGACCTCCCCAAAACCTCAGGTCTGGGGAGGGTTGGGTGGGGCCGGCCCAGCTCCTCCGCCCGCCTGCCCGCCCTGTGGGGCTGCCCAGGCCAGATCTGGGAGAGGCATTTCTGATGAGTCCTGGACTGAGGACGGAGGAGCTGTGCATCCCTTCCCCCCTGGGCTGGCAATGAGGGTCAGCAGGCTCCTCCACTGGGCGTCCAGGCCCCTGGCATGGGAACTGGTCCCCAACAAGCACCTTTCACCCTTAGCTGGAGACAGTTCTCCCTCTAGCCATGCTACGGACCCCGCTTTATACTGCAAGTCTTGGCTCCCTGCTGCCTCAGTTTCCCCAGCTACAGCTGGTCAGGTGAAATCTTGCTGTCCTGCATGCAACTGGGTTACACAGGGTGTGACTTTAGCTCTGTGGTACCAAACAGGTCATTAATGTCTTCCACGGACTCTGGGTTTGGTTTGGTTTTCTGTGGTGGGGATGGAACCCAGGGCATTCTCACCAGCCGAGGTCCCCAGGCTTGTTTTCTTCTTTTTTCTCTAGGTAGGGTTTTGCTAAGTGGCTAAATTGGCCAGGCTGGGTTCCAACTTGCAATCCTCCTGCCTGAGCTTCCCAACATGCTGGAATTGCAGGTGTGTGGGATCAGATGGGGGTTGATCTCAGGTTTTGATTTGCCTTTTGGCCCTTCTCGCAGGCTGTTTTACTTCTTGGGGATGTGGCAGCTCCCTTATTAGATCTACCTCCTCCCACTGTCACTAACAGTCTCCTCTTGCTTAGGCTGAGGAAGAAGCACCTCCTAAAACAGAAAAAAAGTGCCTAGGGCGCCCCTCCACCAAGGCCTCTGGGCTGCTTCATAGTGGCACCCACTTATCTGCCAGGCCCTGTGCCCGCTGCCTTCCTTTCATACCTTATCTGTGTCACTGGGTCACCTCTACTCTGTCTGCCCACAGACCTGAGCGTCTCCAGGGAGGGGCAGCTGCAGCCGCCGTGGGACCCACGTAAGGTTCCCTGCCTCAGTCTCTGGGCCTGAAAGGTGAGATGAGGCACTCCTTGTCCTACTGCCTGGAGAGTGACAGATGTGGCGTGCGAGAACCTGTGAGCATGTGTGTCTCATTCCTGTGTCCCCCACGGCCAGGTTGCTGTCCCTGGGATTCGGGGGTTTTCCTTCCTCCACTCCTCCTGCTCAAAGCCCCAAGTTCCTTATCTTCAGGATGGGCCTTGGCCAGACCTGGGGGAGCCTGGTGTTGCCTTCCCAGCAGCCAGCTCCCACCCTGCCTGGATGGACAGTGCATCCATAGCTGGCACTGGTGGGGAGGCTGTGGGCCCATGGAGCTGCCAGTCACACCCCTAGATGTCAGAGCCAGGTAGGAGGGGGGCTCACAGATAACCCTAGCTGCCTGGCTCCCCCACTCAGTGACTCAGAGGTGCACTGGACCAAGGGTGGAGGGGAGCTGAGGCCAAAGCCTTTCAACTGTGAGCCAAGCAAAAAATTGTGTGTGGAGGGGTGCTGGTGCCTGGCCCTCAGAGCCGTCTTCAGCCTCCCGTCCCTGAAGAGTAGGCAGGTCCTGGACTGGATGCCCTGAACGTCAGATACTTTCCTGAGCACTCTGTGCTGCAGTCCGGCTTATCTTGCAAAGCTGTCCCCACCTCCCTGTGGTTCAGCCGGTGCCGACACAGGCTGGCTCCAGCCCACGTTGGGCAGGGGGCTTCCTGCCCTTTGCCTCCTGGCTGGCTGCGTCCATGGCCCTTCTGCTCCGAGGCCCCAGCCCTCCCGGGGAGTGCTCCTCCTTCCAGGAAGCTCTGGGTGGGACCCAGACCTCTTTATCCATTAGCTCTCCAGGGCTCAGGGTGAGCCTTTTAGACTTTTTTTTTAACACCCTATTTCGAAATTAATTATAGACTCTCAGACAGCTAAGAGTTTTTAAGAGCTCAGAAAATATTTGATGCCGGAAGAAAAATCTGGGTTGGCTTGAAAATAATTAACTTGGGGGTGGGGATTTAGCTCAGTGGTGAAACGCTTGCCCAGCAGGCTGAAAGCCCTGGGTTTTGTCCTCGGCACCAAAAACATACAAAAAGACCAAAAAACAAAAACAAACAAAAAACCAAAAACTTGGGGCCAGGGAGAT